TTTTCATTAATAGGTTTGATGGAATTAATCAGTCTCTGTTCTATCAAAACTTTGGAGTGTAGGTACTACATGGTATTATGAATAATTTCAAATGGTGAATAAGGTCTTTTAAAAAAATTTTTTTTTGTAGTTGTAGATGGATGGCATATCTTTATTTTAGTTGTTTATTTTTTTATGTGGTGCTAAGAATCGAACCCAGTGCCCCACAGTGCTACGTAAGCGCTCTGCCACTGAACTACAACCCCAGCCCAAATAAGATTTTTTTTAGTGAAAGTTTTAGTGTTTTTTGTTTTTGTTCCTCAGGAAGAGATTATATCTGGAAATTCTTAGGAGGGAATCCTTTTTTCTTGAGTAGCATTAAGGAATTAATCTATTTACCTATGTGTATAATTTTGTGTTTGTTCACAATTGGCTAGGTTTAACAGTACCTCCCTACTTTCTGTTGTCACAATTACTGAAATGCTTAAAGTTTTTAGGAAATGAAAATATCAGAAAAGAATTTAGGCAATTTAGTTTTCATAAAATGTTTGTATTACTGCCAAAGTATTTGTGTGTTCTATAACAGGCCGATTTTGTTCGCATATGAAGAGATTTTTCTTTCTTTTTGCTTTTTTGGTACTGGGTGTTGAACTTAGGGACACTCAACTACTGAGCCATATTCCTAACCCTTTTTTGTATTTTTCTTAGAGATTGAGTCTCTGAGTTGTTTAGGGCCTTACTAAGTTGCTGAGGCTGGCTTTGAACTCACTATCCTCCTGTCCTCAGCCTCCTGAGCCATTTGGATTACAGATGTATTCCACCACACCCGGTTGTTCTTTTTTTCCTGAATCCTGAATATTCAGAGTAAAGATGATGTATTCTTTTCACAGAAAATGCTTACTAAATCTTAGGTGAATGGAACATAAATGGAGTAAAATAGAATAAGTGGAATAAAGATGATGTGGAGATATTATTTATTTTAATATTTTGTGATAAAAAGATAAAAAGAATCAAACTTATTTTATTAATAAATATTTTAAATTTTTTAAATAAAATTTGAGAATGTTTTAGCTCCCAATTTTTACTTTTACCTGTGTTTTATAAATTTAATATGTTCATAATACTGTTTAACTGATTGAGACAAATTCTGGAAATTTCTTGATGACATAAAAGTGCTTTACTCTTTCCTTTGAAGCCTCTTTTTGGCAGGTGAAACTCTACTGGTTTTGAACTTTTTGCTTCATTCACATTTGGGTTTAATTTTTTTTTCTATATTTCAGTTTTTAAATAAAAAGTTTTATGGGGTTATAAACTCTGAACTAAGAAAATACACTGGGCTTGGAGTATATCTTGCTGGTAGAATGCTTGAGGCTCCTGGGTTCAATACCCAGCACTGTCTGCTACCCTCAAAAAAATGGGTGGGTGAAAATTTACTGGTTTGGTTTTGTTTCTTTTTAGTGCTAGGGAATTGAATCCAGGGCCTTACCTGTGCTAGGCAAGCAATCTACCACTGAACTATCCCTAGCCCCTGCACATGTTTATCTGATGGTGAAAACATTGGCTTCAAAGTTTAGCTTTAAGATGATTAGAACTTTTGTAAATACAACTGCAGTTTATATCATTGGTTCTTCCTTGAATGGATACTTCTAACTTCAGTGGCCTGATTTTTGCCTAAGATATTAATCTTTCAATATTCAGTAGGTGTAGTTTGTAATATTCTTTAAAAAATGAAGAAACTTAAACTAATTAGTTATGTAAGGGACTATGATGTCCAGGGCAAGAAGAAGGCCAGAAGAAAATGGAATATATTGTTTAAATAAAAAATCAAAATGAACAGTTCACGGACTTCAGTGTTCGTTCATTTTACTTGTGCAAGAGTGCTCTGGTCATGTCAGAGGTATTTTGAAACGGTTGCTTCAGTAATTTGGCCTACTATCTTTTTTTCTCTATAACAGTTTTTCTGTTTTCTACTACACCTTGCACATCCACCAATCCAAGACACCCTATAGGTGAGTATTTTTCTAGTTCTCAAATGGCATCATTTGTTCCCAGCCAGTTGCCACTTCATTAAAACTAGACTTTATTTTTCTACTCTGAATTATCTGGTTATTTGATTTCACAGAGAGTGTTCTACTCCACTACTTTAAACATTATCAGCAAACTACTGAAGAACTGTTTTTATATTACACCTCCCCCTCATTTGACAATAAAATTAAACTTTTTTTCCTGATATTTATCCTCTAGTAGTTTTTGAAGTGCTATTCTTGGACTCTGTTCTTTTTTAAATTAAAAAAAAAATTTTTTTTGTAGCTGTAGATGGACAGAATGCCTTTATTTTATTTGTTTATTTTTATGTGGTGCTGCGGATTGAACCCAGTGCCTTAGGCATGCTAGGCAAGAGCTCTGCCACTGAGCTATAGCCCCATTCCTCTCAGACTCTGTCTTTTTGAGTTTTTTATTATAAGAACTGGAAAAATAGGGGTTGTGGTTGTGGCTCAGTGGTAGAGTGCTTGCCTAGCATGCACAAGGCACTGGGTTCAATCCTCAGCACCACATAAATGTAAAATAAAGATTGTGTCCACCTAATGCTTAAGAATAAATATTAACAAAAAAAAGAACTGGAAAAATAGAACAAGCCAGTTACATATTTAAAGACAACATGAAGGTTTATTTTAATATTCTGAGATTACAAGTAAGAAATTAAAATAAAACTTATTTTAGTGATGCTTTTTAATTTTTCTCTAAGGATGGTTTCTACCTAAAGAATTAGGAGAAAAATTACAAAAATGTTCTCTGGATATAGTTATCTCATGTAGTTAGTTAGGTTAATTCTCAGTTCACTTAATTATACTGATGAATCAGAAATCCTAAATTTTTTTGCTTTTCTTTGTCTTAGATTTGTCTGATTATTTTTCTGTTTTAGGTTTTAAATATAATTTTAAAAGTCTACCAAGAAAATGATATTTTCCTCAAGGTTTTGGAAATAGGGAGAATATTATGTTCAGTTTGTTAATTTTGAGAGGCTTAATGAAAAGAAGAAAGAAGTAAAAACAAAACCCCATCTCTTTTCAAGCTGGTGATGCTTTTATCTAGTTCAGCCTTTTAATGTAGTTGAAACACTTATAGTACTGCAGTATTTAACTTCTGGCTCTGTGAAGTTCTTATTATCCCTTAACCTTCTTTTGCTCTGCTCATCCTCTCTCACACTTTGTAATGGCTGGATATTCTCTACATGTATTCCTGGAAAACCTAACCTAGAAGAACTGACATGAAGTCAAAATTCATTTTTTTAAAGGCATGTTTTCTCATTTCTCTTGCACCCTGCGCATGTGGTGACTTGCATAGCTGAATTAGGTGGTTAGGTTTATAAGTTTTTTCAATAAGCTATATAGCTCCTTATTCTTTTTCATAAGATCATTTTTCTTTCCTTGGGTTCTCCCCAATTTTTCCTGCAAAGAGTGGAGAACTAGAAAGCGACAAAATGTGTTGGTCACCATCTTCTTCATACCATGCCTGATTTGAGTGGCATGTAATAATTTTTTGTTTTTTAAAAAAACAAATATCTCAGTTGCCTTTGTGCTCCTGTATGTTTATTTCCTTTTGACAATATTGATGTTTGGTTTTTTTCTTACTTTTTTTTTTTTTTTTTTTTGAGTAAAAATCCTTGGATTTTCATGATTCAGGATAGGAGAGTGTATGTACGGAAAAGGTCAAAACTTGAGACTCCTGAAGAAGTTGTACTGTGCAGCTGTTCTGGATTGGTGGATATGCAAATATTAAATAAGGGAACAAATATTCCTTTTGATATGAGAGATCATAACATCCACATCTCTTCAAATTTGGGGAGAAATTTTTATTTGAGCTTTGTTCATCTGGTTTACTACTGAATTGGCCCTGCATTTTGTTTTCTACAGCAGATCCAAACAAAGTAAAATATTATTTAATAAATCCATGTAAGTGGTAAGCTTACTCATTAAAAAATAATAATTCTTTTGATTCTTAGGGAATTTTCTGATAATCCTAATCATTTTTTAATGTTAAATTCTTATTTCTGTATCTGCTACATTACATTGGTGAATCAAAGTGTATTACAGTAAGGGAGAATCAGTGGGGAATTTTAGGAATAGAATTCTCACATTAAATTGGAAAAGGATAGTCAGATTTTTGCATTCATACCTAAATTTGTTAAAAGTAATGAAGAGATATAGTATTAACATTCAAGAATTTTTTGATGGACTATTGAGCTGTTGACTTACATGTGGAGGATTGTAGTTCTGCTTGGCAGTTTGCTAATCGCCAAACCTGAACCTTACTGGTATATGTTTGCAGAGTGTGACTGAAACTGTGATTCAGAATCTTTTTAATTACTGAGGAAAACTTCATTTTGTATTTTCGGACAATGAAGATATCTCAAGAGTTTTTTACTAATTTACTTATTGGACTTTAGAGAACTAAGAGTATTTTATGACTACTTTATGAAAGATTGAAGTTAAGGTTATGGGAAGAGGTGAATAAGTGTATCAGCAGGTAGTTCATTTTAAGTTCTAGGGTGGTGCATCTTGGCTAAAAATGTTTATTTAATTCATATATTGAGTGATTTTAGACATTGTGCACAAACATTTCAATTGTGTTGTCCTTTTCTTCTTTATGTAAAGCTGACTGATAATGCTCTAATGTGGGTGACTGGTTGTATGTTTATCTCTTTATTTGCAGCATATTTTATAGTGAAGTTTTGCTTTATTATCTCTACATGATATAGATAAGCAGAGTAATTTCATACTTTTATACTATTAATATATAGCAAATAGGAATAGTTAAGTGGCAAAAAATACCCTTTTTTGTTGGGGCAAGAGTATAGAAGCTTATATAAAGCTTGTGCATCATAGCTTGAAAAAGTTAAAATTGGGGACTGAAACTTAGTGAAGAAACAAGCCTGAGACATTTTATATATCTAGGCGTTGCTGGGTAGACTGTAGAATAATGAATTTGAGTTTTTAAATGCCAATTCTTTCCTTAATTAGATATTTCGAGAAGCTCGAAGAACAGTACCTAGTATTGTTTACATGCCTCACATTGGCGATTGGTGGGAAGCTGTCAGTGAAACTGTGAGAGCAACTTTTCTGACATTGCTACAAGATATACCATCATTTTCACCCATATTTTTATTGTCTACCTCTGAAACCATGTACAGTGAATTGCCTGAAGAGGTAAGAACTAATTAAATATTTTTTCCAATTATATTGTTTATATACAAAATGTCAAGTTTCGTATCCTGGTTATACTACTTATTAGCCATGTGAAACAGGCAAGTTATTTAATGTTTCAAATTTCAGTTTCTTTCCTTTTTAATTTATTTTTAAAAATATGGACACAATGTCTTTACTTTATTATTTTTATGTGGTGCTGAGGATCGAATCCAGTGCCTCACGTGTACGAGGCAAGCACTCTGCCGCCTAGCTATAACCCCAGCCCTCAGTTTTTTTTTTAGTATAGTAGTAATGTCTTCGTAAGTTTTGAAGATTGTGATGATTCATGCTTAGAACAGAATCTGACATATAGAGAGAGAGCCTTCTAAGAAAATCTTAGCTCTTTCATCATCTGTTGCCTTATAATTATTTTAAATTACCTGTGAGGAAATTTGGTGGGATTTGACTTTTTAGTTCTTTTATTAATAGCATCACATTAAGTTGTATATTATCTAATATGTATATTTTTAAAACATGAAATTTAGCTTTTGAGTTCAAATCAAAGGGAAAATCACAATTGATTCAGAAAAGAAATTGGTGTATCAACTCATGTGAATGAGATTATTTTTAAAAAATTGTCTTAATATTCTATGCTTATTGGGTCATCGAATAGTCTCCTTGAGAAGTGCTTAGAAATATTTTGCCTAGTTGACACAGTAGGAATGATGATATAAAGTATTTAGATGTTTTAATGTTATAATATAAATCCTGATTATGTTAAATTTTATGATTAAGGTATTTGTGTACTGACTTCTTTTATGTCTCAGCTTTCATTAGCTATTTTGCTAATATGAATTTGAATTATTTACTGCTCTTATAAGGAAGTATATTAAGTTTAGAAAAATTTATTTTTGGTTATTCAAAATCTGATAGTACATGAAAACCATTAATCAAAATGTTTATAATCATACAGGGCAATGAAATTTAGCAGTAAGAGTCAGAAAAACCAAGGTACTAACTTATTATAGTCTTTTGATCTTGGATAAATATATGAAGATAGAATAATCTCAAGTTTCTTATTTATAGAATGTGGATATTAGATAGTGTTGTTAGTATAAGCCAATGTATGGAAACTTATTTTTCAGATCATAAAGCTATAAAATGTTTAGTATTAGTATTATAAAGTATGAATGCAGTTGAAGTTGATTTGAAAGAATGGACTGAATCTGGACATAACCTAGGAACAACTTTTAAAGTTAGATCCTCTCTGTCAATTAGTTTTAAAACTTTATAAACAGAAAGAGAAAACATAAAAAAAATATTTGGGAAATTAAACATTCCAGTTGAGAACATAATAATTCCCTGGAAATTTCCTTCTATATTGTCTTAAAATTTTATAAAATAAGTCTTTTGAGCCATGCGTGGTGGCACATGCCTGTAATCCCAGCAGCTTGGGGGCTGAGTCGGGAGGATCATGAGTTCAAAGCCAGTTTCAGCAACTTATTGAGGCCCTGAGCAACTCAATGAGACTCTCTCTAAATAAAATACAAAAAAGGGCTGGGAATGTGGCTCAGTGGTT